TTTGGTGTTTGCTTGTTTTTCTCTCCCCCCTCGCCTAAAGAGACAAACAACAACAGAAAAAAAAAGCCACGAACAAAAAAAAAAAAAAAAAAAACAACCCCAAGCTTCCACCGGGCTCCAACAAAACCCCGATGGAACAAACGCCGTGTCTGGGAGAATAAATTAATCCCTCTTTAAACAGCCTGACTCAGGGCCGGCTGACGAGGGAGCTTGTTTTCTTTTAAAATAGGACGCGAGCGGGCCGGATTTCTGTAAAAACTGGCGAAATCTAACGGGAATGGGGAGGAATAGGGACGGTGGAGCGTGCAACCCCTCCCTTTGCCAACTGAGTCACAATTTTCCCCCTTTCTGTCGGTGAAAGACTGACTTAAAAACACCGCTGTTTATGTAATTCCGGAGAAAAATCCAATGTACCAGAAAAAAAAAATCTAAAAAAAAGAATTCTTTGCCTGGCTTTTGTGAGCCTCGCGAGCCCTTTCTCACCAGATTGTTTTCTCCCGGATTTTTTTTTTTTTTTTTGCGCTGGAAAACATAAAATGTGTGATTGCAGCAGCAGCAGTGGAGGGAAAAAAAAAAAAAAAAGCGCCCAGCACATCACCTTTCTCAAGGTAAAATAATCCTCTTTGCACGTTCCCGGTGGCGGCCGCTCGCTTCCTCACTGTCCTCCTCGGAATTAAACCCAGACCCAACCCGTGACACGAGTTTGAAAACCTGAGTTGAATGAATAAATCCGCCAAGAGCGAGCACCATTCCTTTAGGGAGGAAAAATTCGTCCCTTGCAAGTAGCGAGGGATGAGTCACTCGCTCGGGTTCTGTGCCTCGGAAAACACGCCGGGAATGTTCCGGGGAGCCGGTACCGGGAGCTGGGCGCTGCGTTTTTGCCGCCTTTTCCTGGGGGATGCGGGCGATGCCATCGGCTTTGGCTGAGGTCTGGTGAATTATTTCTCACTCTAGTGGGCAGTTGTGATTCGCACGTAGGAAACTTCACGCTAAGAAGTTAATCTCCTTAGTTTAGGGCCATCTCCCTCCGAGCCGGGGCTGCTTTAGTGCCTTGCTGCCTCTCAGCTGAGCGTTTTCCAGGGGAAATTTTTCCTGGGCTGGCAGGACTGTATTGCAGCAGGCTGAGAAATGCCAAGTAATGCTTCAAGTACGTGTCCAGCTCCTCGCTGCTCGTCCGTGCTTTTCTGAAGGTGCTGAGTTTTGAAGTAGTGATGTCACACGCTGATTTAGGAGTCAGCTTTGCTGCTTTTAATTAAGGAGTCAGCAGTTCGCTTTCCGAACGTGCGGCTCGGAAGCATCTTCATAAAACTGTGACGTGGAAATTTTCCTCCGATTTTTTTTTTCTCTCTCTAAATAATAAAAAGCTTTAGAGCTCCTAATAAATGCTGGATATTGTTTCTTGAGTGGTTTTGTTAGAATCAATGATTTGGGGTGCGAGCGTGCCAATGCACCCAGCAGAAAGCAGCACTGAGGTAGTCCTGATGTGACTTTCATTTTTCTTCTTCCCATTCTCACAGCAGCACGTCAGCCCCGATCCAACTGATTAGTTAAAACTAGTTAAAAAGCGTGGATTTAAAAGCCTGTCCCCAGTGTCAGTTAAATAACAAATGGAAGTGACTGAATATTCACACTTGTTCTTCCTGGGGGGAGTGTTAAACCAAGTGTGCGTTCCAGCTGGGACGGGATTCCTAAGGGACAGCTTAGTACGTGGAATATAAAGTTGTAATTTTTAGCCAGATGTTTTTAGATGAGGTTTCAATGTCTTAATTTTAGTCCTGTGGCAGTGGGCTGCAGGACTGTAAACCGTTCCTTCCAAATAAAGTTGTTTGATTGTTTTTAGGTGGCATTTTGATGAATTGTATCCCTTTCTAAAGAAACAATCCTGCTACTGAATAAGCAGGATCTTCTTAGTCCCAAAATGCATAGTTGGAAAGCCGCTTTTAGGATGTGCTCGGGAAGTGAAAGTTGTATCTGTTAATGTGAGGAGGACTCATCCATCAGATGGAGTGTTCAAGATATGACTCATGCTAATTTGTTGCTCTCACATTAAGGCTGAAGCACAAAAATATTTTAGCCTCTGGCATTGGAAGTTCACAATGCCACATCCTACACTCTGGGTCACGAATTGCAGGGTTTTTTTGTTTACTGCCCCCCCAGGAGAGAAGGAATTAGTGACAGAACAAGGGAATTTTGCAGGAGAGCCTGTCCCAGGCCATCAAAATATCTCCAAAATGTTGACTTGATGTTAATGCTGGGTGAAGTAAAGCCGTGGTCGGAGCCTGCATAACTGCGCCTGCCAGAGGCGTGCAGCAGGTGCTGGCTTCCCTTCTCCAACAGGGAGTTTAAAAAAATGCTGCCTGATCCTTTTTTAAAAGGCTTTAACAGCCCTTGGAAAGTGAGGAGCACGCTCGGGGCAGAGGGGCTGCGAGGAGCACGCTGCTGCAAATAATGCTGGCTCCCTCAGAACCAAGATAAGCAGACTTACATAAGCAGCAGCTCCACAGCCTGTCGCTTGATGAATATACATTGTTTTATGTCCACTGTCTCCATCACATCTGTAGGAATAAGTGCATCATTACCTTGAAGTGCTGACGATTCTTTGAGGCTTAAAAATATCCATAAACTGCCTAAGTTTGAACCTTGTCCAAAGGATTTGGGCTCTCCATTATCCGATCTGCTAGCTCTGCCTTTGAAATTGTATCTCTGGAGCTATCATTGGGTGCTCTGCAGTGTCTTCTGGTGCAGTTTAACAACATTGTTTGATGCCGATTTCAAGTTGTAAAACATTTCAGAATTTTTTAAAGTTAAAATTGTGTTGAAGTGCACAACTTGCTCAGTATTGTGCTGTCGGTGTGTATCGTGCAAACTCTTATTTTCATGCAATGTAGAAGTGTCAAAACCTTTTTAAAAACATGGAAAATAAAAGGTTGAAAATGCACAATTGTCACTGAAGTCAGGGAAAAGTTTAATGGAGCTGCTGGGGCTTGTGCCATGCCCTGATTTAGCAGCGTCGCCTCCAGGAGAGTTCTGGATGCAGCTCTTCAGCAGTCGCTCCCTGGAGTAAAGCAGCCCCTGGGGCTGTTTGGGGTGGCTGCTGTGGCCAGGCAGGTGTGCTGATATCCAGCCTACCTGTTGCATCCTGAGCTTCAGCACAGAGGGATCTAAAAAGCAGATACAGATGGACAGCCTGGCCTGGCTCCTCATGCTTCCCACAAGTTTTGTCTCCTGTCAGTGTCCTGTCAGGAGTCCAGGCTTTCTCCTGTGAACTGTTGTCCTGTCAGATAGGCTTGGAGTGTTTGGGAGCTTGCATTCCTTCCCACGTGGGTTAGCGTTGGTATCCACCCATGGCTTTTATCCAAAGATCACCAGCGTCACACTCCCAAAAAGTGAGATTGGAGTGATGCAGGAGCTGCCCCACAGCAAGGGAGAGATGCTCTGGGGGGGCTGTAGTCCCTGCTGCGATCCAGGCAGCCAAAGCACCCAGGATACAACTAGGAAAACAGCCCAAAGTGAGCTTCTAGAAATACTGGGTTGTCCAGAGGACGTGTTGAAATGGATTCCCATGGGAAGAGCATTAGCCTGAGTGTGCTTCCCATACTGTCCACCCCAACCCAAGATGTAGAAGTAGACAGGTCAGGGTCGTGCACTGGCACAGTGTTCATTCAGCTCTCACAGCTTTGAGTCATGCTGCTTTGTGAGGAAAGCCATAGGAAAGGATCCTGGAGGGCTGCAGTACTGATCTGATGGGAATGCAAGTTTCCCCAAACTCAGCTTCAGGCCTGGCACGCTGCGTTACTAACGAGCCTGATTTAAAACTGGTCTGATGAGACCGAGGCACATCTTGAATACAGATGCACTTAAACTGGCTTAAGGTGCTGGAGTGATTTATTTTAATGCTCCATTAGGCTGAATTGGTCTGTGTGGTTTCTAAACCACATTAAAATTGTATCTGCCAGGGTTTTGTCCCAGTCTGACTGGATGAGTTTTAATAACAGTGTTTCTGCCTTAGAATAACCGCGCGTGGTGCAGCGCAGCCCGTGGCAGGCAGGCTGCAGCTCAGCTGAGCGCTGCTGCCTGCGGGCCCCCTTCCCTTCCCTGCAGCTGCTGCCACACATTCTGTAGTTCAAAGTTAGTTGGTATTGGCTGCTTTCAGACAGCTTTCAGGGCTTATTCCCAACACCCCGAACCGAGTTCTCCAGCATCTCTAGATGTCTCCCAATGTGTATCGATCAGCTTCTCTTCCCAGCAGTAGCTGGGAAAGTAGCTGCTGACGAAGAGAAAAAGGCCCTGCCGCTATTCTTGTTAGTTCCAGACGCAGAGAACACAGTGGTCAGTGGATAAATGCATCAGGAACCTGCTAAATATAGAGATGTGGCTTTAGACAGCTCCCGATTCCAGTTGCTTTGGTTTCAGTGCTGGCACAGGGGTATGAAGGCGCTGTTTAAATAAGACGCCTTATCGCATCCTGGCTCTCTGTGCCTGCGGTTCAGTTCTCAGTGTGCACTAAGCTCAGCTTAAAGGTGGGGCCTTATTTTGCAACTCCTGTCAGTACCTTCACCCTCTCCTGATGTGCCATCTGATACGATCATTAGCAAAATGAGTTATCTGTTATGTAAAGATGAAATGCTGTTATTAAAAGATCTGACAAGCACCTAGTTGTCTTCTGTAAAAAGTTGCCCTCCAGAAACTGAATAATTCCTTGATCGTTGTGCTGTGTCCTACACTTACCACAGGGTCTGCGCAGCCAGGGCATTTACAGCACGAGCGGTTTATCTTGTCCAAAACCAGCATTATGTAACCTTCCCCTGTTGTTCCTTCCGTGGCTTTTGGTCCAGAATGTGCTTCCCTGTCGTTTGTAAATGTTCTCACCGTGCCAGAGCGAGCACCCATCCAGAGAATTTAAGTGTGAATGTTTGGTTTTAGGCACACGAAGCCTCCCATCACCAACAGCAGGCAGCACAGAACAGTTTGTTGCCTCTCCTGAGCTCTGCTGTTGAGCCGCCCGATCAGAAGCCGATTCTGCCCTTACCAATAACGCAGAAACCTCAGCCTGCACCAGAAACATTAAAGGATGCTATTGTTGGGATTAAAAAGGAAAAACCTAAAACCTCCTTTGTGTGCACTTACTGCAGCAAAGCTTTCAGGGACAGCTACCATTTGAGGCGTCACGAGTCCTGCCACACAGGGATAAAGTTAGTGTCACGGCCAAAGAAAACTCCCACCACAATGGTGCCCCTTATCTCGACCATCGCTGGTGACAACAGCCGGAGTTCGCTGGTTTCCACTATCGCAGGCATCCTGTCCACTGTCACTACGTCTTCCTCTGCCACCAACCCCAGCAGCAGCGCCGGCGCCACGGCCATGGCGGTGACGCAGACGGTGAAGAAGCCCAGCAAGCCCGTGAAGAAGAACCACGCCTGTGAGATGTGTGGGAAGGCCTTCAGGGACGTCTACCACCTCAACCGGCACAAGCTGTCCCACTCGGACGAGAAACCCTTCGAATGTCCCATTTGCAATCAGCGCTTCAAGAGAAAGGATCGCATGACCTACCACGTGAGGTCTCACGAAGGTGGCATCACGAAACCCTACACCTGCGGGGTGTGTGGAAAAGGCTTCTCAAGGTACCACCTGGCAAACCCCAGGCCTGCTCCGCTGTTGGCTTTTTGTGAGCGAGAAGGGTTAAGCTGTGGTAGTGAGGAGCTGGGAGAGCCAAACTTCTGAGGAGATTGGTGAGGGGCTAAAGAGCCTTGTCTGCAGCTAGGGTGGGGGAGTCTCCATCTGAGCAAGGTTGGAGTGGCCAGAAGTGGGCACTTTTTTAGGAGAGTGGTTTGAAATGGTTTCTCGACCTCATGCAGGGCCCATAAGATGTGTGTCTGTGTCACTGGGGGTGGGCACAGAGCCCCTTCAGCAGCCTTTGCCACGGTCTGTGAATGGGGCAGGGCGGAGGAGCTGTCACCTGCTCTTACAGCAGGGTGGAGGGACAGCACAGGGGGAGCTTGCACTGCTGCTGGCTCTGTTTGTACCTGTGCTTGCAACAGAGAAAACTTCAACCTTTAGAGCAGTTGCGCTCTCACCTTTACACAAGGTGTGACCAAACGTGCCTTTGCCAGGTGTGTGAGGAGAACAGGGTTAAGCTTTAAACCACAGGCTGGTTCTAAGCTGTGAGGTGTTGCATGGAGCCCCTGGTAGGTGAGGGAAGGGATTTCTCCTGGCTCTCAGAGGGATGGGGCTGCAGGGAGTGAGCAGCTCGGTGTCAGCTCTGCTAGCCAAGCTGTCCTGGCTCTGTGTGTGTAACACTGTGCACTTTTCTCCTGTTCTCTCTTTCTTGCAGGCCTGATCATTTAAGCTGTCACGTTAAACATGTTCACTCAACAGAGAGACCCTTCAAATGCCAAGTAAGGGCTAAAATGGTTTATTAAGAGCAATACCTTATTGTGTCACTGGTACTCAGGTGAATCTTTCCAGAGCTGTATTTGCTTCCGGACTTTTGAAAAGGAAGTTTAGGAGTAAAGCCACATTTGCCACCACACCACAGTGCTGGAGTTCTGATGGAACTTTAAAAAGATACTGTGGTTGCTTTTTTAGGAAGATTAGAGGCTTTTTGCTTTCTTGGAGAAGAGCATAGTTGCTCTGTTTTACCATATGCTTAACTTAGTAGTAGGATTGTAGCAGCATCCTCAGCTTAGTGCTCATTTCTGGGGTAATGTGTGCAGTGTGTTTCTCAGCATGTTCAAATGAAATGTCTTTCTCAGCACTTCTATTTAAATATGGGTGGGAATGGTTCATTCTGGATCTGTTATTTTGCTGGAAGGGGAAAGCAAGTTGTCCTAAGTTGATGACTGAGACTAGGTGAAATACTTTGATGGCCCTTGAACAATTAACTGTTTTGCTTGGAATATCCATGCTTATTCCAACCTGTTTCAGTGACTCATCTTATTAAATAAAAGCCTTGGATAAAAAGAATAGTGTTGGGAAAAGGTTTTCTTTCCTTGTTCTGGGTGGGAACAGAAGTGATTGAGCAGTGTAAGGTACCAAGTTCATATTTGTACAGTAAAATTACATTAGAAACCAACTTTGCCTATTGTAGGTGTTTTTTACAAGCTCCCTCTTGCATTGGTGGTGGGTAAGGCAACCCACTGTTTTCAGAAAGCTCAAGCAGTATAGAATATGATTTTTGTCCTGATTGTCTCAGAAGCAAATTCGATTCTCAGTCTCTGCTGAGTAGTTTGATTTTTGTTTCTCTATAAATGCCAGTAAAAGTTAAGGTTGTCAATGCACTTAGGATACTGTTAGGGGCTGCCAGGCTCCCAGAGGGCCTGTGGGTGACGCTGTGCTGCTCTGTGTGCCCCTCAAGTGTAACTTTGTCCTCCCTCCAGACGTGCACTGCTGCCTTTGCCACCAAAGACAGACTGCGGACACACATGGTGCGCCATGAAGGAAAGGTATCGTGTAATATCTGTGGTAAACTTCTGAGTGCAGCATATATCACCAGCCACTTAAAGACACACGGGCAGAGCCAAAGTATCAACTGTAATACCTGTAAACAAGGCATCAATAAAAGTAGGTGAACGTTTTACAAACATTTCTAATAACGGTGTGTGTGCGAAGGGAATTGCCTTTGATGACGTTAAACTCAGCTACGTGTCTGTCAGTCTGGGTGGGCACACCTCCTAAAAGTACATCTTTAGTAACAGAATGTGCTTCAGCTCAAGAATTGGCACGTGTGGAGTTGGTTTGCTCTCATCCCTTGGGAATGCCCTGCAGTTCATGACAGTGACCCATCTCTTGAAAAGAGTTCCCAGATTTTCAGTGCTGCTTCCTGAAATGTGCAGGTCTAAAAGCCCAACAGATAGTCTGGAGATTTTAGACTGTTTAAGAACTGCTAAGCTTTGCCAGGTTTCAGGTCTGAAGCCTCATCCAAAGCTCATCAAAATAAGGAGAAAGATTTCTCTGCATTCTCTGAGCTTTGACCCTGGGGCTCAGTGTTTCCTCCCTCAGGCAATAGCTGACAAGAAAAGGATTTAAATCCAGCCCTGATAGGTTTTGGGCATTAATGGCATCTGACTGGTGTTGTGCAGGAGGTCAGATGAGATGTTTGTAATAGCTCCTTCTAGACTTAAACTCTGGACCTCTGAATGACTAGCAAGCAAATGAAGACTTGACTTTCAAATTTTCCCTATTAAAATACCTGTAACTTAAGTTAACCCTGCATGGTTAGTAATATAAAACGGGTTTTCAGAGGAATAAAGAGGCAGAAGTAAGGAATGTCTTTGGAAACTTTGTCTTTAAAGCCTTTAAACTGTATTAATTTACAACATCTTTGCAGTTCCTGTTACTCCTGGATAATTTGAAGGTACTGGGAATGTCTGAAATGCCTGATTGTTGAGCTTAGTAGGAAATTTGGATGTGATGTATTTTTCAAGGGTAGGGTTACAACTCTGGCTTCCCAGTCCAGTTTGGTGGTGCTAAGCCAGTTCACATGAGGCATTTTCAGCAGTTGTTAGAGGTGGAAATGGTGAGCTGTACTGGGGCCAGAGAGTAGTGACAGGCTGATGTAAACTGAAAATTTTAAGTTATACTTGCAATAAAAAGTAAAAAGGTTTTTTTTATTTTTCATTCTTAAACTGGAGCTAAAGTTTAGAAAAAGTGGATTCAGTTTGAGTTCTAGAGACTAATTGGAGTCTTTAATTTCATTCTTCCTTAATACAAATTAAATAATGACAAGAGAAGTCTGGTTTTGGCACTTAAAGTAGGTGTTCTTGACTTATGTTTTCGTTTTTAGCTCTTGGAAAAGTAGTTTTATGAAGCACAGAATTAATGATACTGTTTTGAACACCTCTGTGATTTTGTTCTTGGAATCCTGTGAGATTCCACATGCTCTTTGTAGAAGTTGCCTTTGTGATCTCAGCAGAAAGCAGAGTAACTTTTCAAGGTGAATTTGTGTTCTTACTTGATTGGCATAGCATGCATGAGTGAGGAGACCAGCAACCAGAAACAGCAACAGCAGCAGCAACAGCAGCAACAACAACAACAGCAGCAGCAGCAGCAGCAGCAGCAACAACAGCAGCAACAGCAGCAGCAGCAGCAACAGCAGCAGCAGCAGCAGCACGTAACAAGTTGGCCTGGAAAGCAGGTAGAGACCCTGAGATTGTGGGAAGAGGCCGTCAAAGCCAGGAAGAAAGGTAAACCAAACCAAAATTGGCGTGGCTGTGTTGGTGAGATGGGGGCTCACAGTCAAACAGGGAGTTGGAGGTGTCAGGAAGGATGTCTTGCGTGACAGTTTCATTCTTAGAAGTCATAGCGAAGAGAGAACAGGAGGAAACAGCCCCAGAGAAGGGTGTGTTAAATGACCTGCTCATGGTTTTCTCCCTTGGTGTCTGTGCTTGCCTGTGTCCCTAGAGCCATCAGTTACAGAGGGAGCTTGTGTCTGCTCCAGCAGGAGTGGGGGCTTGGACTTGCATGTGGCGTTTGGCTGTGCTTGTGCTTATTTACCCTGTTCTCCTGTCTGTGTGCACACACACACCCACAGACACCCCTGCATCAGCACCAGGGTGCCTGTGGGTGCTTTCTGTGTCCTGTTCATCTTGTCTCCCCCAATCTATTCCATCTGCTCTATCATCATGTAGCTGTCTTTGCATGAAGTTTTCTGGACCTCAGAGAGCTCTCTCTCTCTTTCTCTCTCTCTGTCTGTTGCTTTGTTTCATTACAGACTGAGGTAATCACTGATGCTGTTTCTCATCAGTGCTGGCTCACAGCTTACCTCTACCTGTGCTGCTGTAGCTGCAGTGGGATTGCTGTTGTTGGTCATTGTGGCAGTTTGGAGGGAACAGATTGTTTCAGTTTAGTGGGTTTAGGATACAGTAGTTTAAATTCTCCCGTTACTGCTGCTTATTTGTTTCACAACAGTTTGATTATTAATGCCCATCATGTGACTTCATGGATTACATGTTTTAGAAGTTCTTAATGACCACTGCTTACTGCTTTTTCACTGGCTGGTTTTAGGAATGTTTTTGACTCACCTTATTGTTTCCTTTTCTCTCAACCTTCCTTTCAGTTCTTCAATCTGTTTTTGTTTTTTAGGCTGCTTGTTCCTTTCCCCTTGTTATGCCCATAATTGAATTCTGTGATCAGACAGTGCAGAAACAGCTTATTCATGTTAAAATGCAGTGATAACAGAAACATTACATATCATCAGGCCACTAAATAGATAAAGCAAATGATGTTGGATTTAGAAAATCACTGAGACTTATTTTCTGCTTGTTCTTTCCTATGTCTTGTTTCCTTTTCCTTCCTTATGGAGAATGTTGAATATGCTTTAACAGAACAGTGGTTTGGGGCAGGAGGGGGTGAGGGTGGGTGGGTGACAGTGGTGTCACACTGGTGCTTTTAGCTTAACTGGGGAAGGGGCATGGGTGGGCTGTGTCTTTGGGTGTGACTGTGCTTGGAGGTGAAGTTAGACCAGTCAGTGCCATGCTTGAGCTGCTCTTTCCATGCTGGTTCTCCTGTGCTAGCTCCACTTGTGGTGGCTTTACAACACCAGTTGGGGCTTTTTTTTGGTCTAGTACAATTTATTTTCACAATTTTTATTTTATTTTTCTTCACTCTTTCCCTTCCTCTCCACCCCTCCTAGCTATGGACTTTGAAGAACCAACAGTAACCCTTGAATGGGGCTAATGTTGCTTTCAAAGTTAATTTGTATTGCCCCAGAGGCAAAGTGGACTCTTTGCTCCTGGCTTACCTCTGCCACGTGGGTGTAACTGAGCTTGGGCTCCTGCCCTACAGATGTGGAAGCAGACACGGCTTAGTGGCGTTTGTGCAGAGTGCATTTCCCTGTTTCTGTAGCGGGCAGCCCTTCCCCTCCCTCCCTCCCTCCGTCCCGGTGTGGGCAGCCGGCAGGTGGTGCTGATGGATGTGCAGTGATTCCCGTCCCCCCCTCGCTCCCCAGCCCGCCCTCCTGGGTGTCCCTTGCTCTGCACCTCAGTCCTGCTTGCTGCAAACCCCCCCAAACCCCCCAAACCAACGTGGTGAGGAGCTGGAGCTTGTGTGAAAGCTGAGGAGCTGATGGGGCTTGAGGGATGTGCTGCTGGGGTAGCCGTGTAGTAGAGGTACTGTGAGCAGTGGAGCAGTTTGGTAGCAATAATTAAGACTGAAATAAGCAGGTAAATATTGAAACGAGCTTTGCTTATCAGTCCCTAATAATGACTTTTTAAAACCTTCACAGAATGTCAGTTCACCTTTGAGAAGGCTATAGAGTACGTACCATTCGGTATGTACACTCTCTCTATTTCTACTGTTCCTCTTGGGAGGATGTGTTTGATTGTACAATACTGTTTTTATGAACATGGAAAAACCCTCTTGCTAAGACAACCTCACTTGACTTCTCAGGGAAAAAAAAACCTCAATTGAAATGACCTGCATGACAGTTTGTATTTCCTGTAGGCTATAGAATGTTAACAGTTTAACTTACTAATAATACCTAAAGAAAATGATTCCAGAATTTGTACCTGTTCTTGTTCGGTTTTTGGGTTTTTTGTTTTGTTTTGTTTTGTTTAAATCTCGTCCATGGTTTTTTTATGTGTTAAAAACTTTTTGTCTTTTTTATGTCTCATTTTTAGAAGCTGCTAACTTGTGCCAAACCTCCACTGCTGCTACTACGCCTGTGACTCTTACTACTCCATTCAATATAACGTCCTCTGTGGCTTCTGGGACTATCACAAACCCAGTCACAGTGGCAGCTGCAATGAGCATGAGAAGTCCAGTAAATGTATCAAGTGCAGTTAATATTTCCAGTCCGATGAACTTAGGGCATCCTGTAACCATAACCAGTCCTCTGTCCATGACCTCTCCATTAACGCTCACCACCCCGGTGAACCTGCCCACCCCGGTGACCGCTCCAGTGAACATAGCGCACCCCGTCACCATCACGTCCCCCATGAACCTGCCCACCCCCATGACGCTGGCTGGCCCCCTCAACATAGCCATGAGACCAGTGGAGAGCATGCCTTTCCTGCCCCAGGCCTTGCCCACCTCTCCTCCCTGGTAAACAAGTTCTAAACAGTATTAAAAAAGGATTAAAATGGAATCCTTACCAGCAGTTCTTTTTTGGGTTTTGTTTGGTTGGGTTTTTTTTTTTTCTTTTGTTTTGTTTTTGTTTTTGTTCTATTGGGTTTTTTTTGTTTTGTTTTGTTTTGTTTTAGTTAATAATAAATCCAGATTAAGACACTGGGGCAACACCATCAGAGACCACAGTAGCATCTTCCCCTTGATTTGGCTCACATGGTTCAGGCTTGAGTTTCACTGGAGCACTTCATTTAAAGTAAGTTTTACATTGTAGCTGACTGATGCTGAATTAGAGCAGATACTTATTTGCCAGAGTTTTAAAAAAAAAAGGAAAAAATACCAAAAAAAAAAGGTAATTAAAAAAACCAGTTTTATGTTTTATCCCCTCAAATTATAACTTAGAAAATTATTTTAATCTAAACACTAGCGAAGACCCCTCTGTATCTGTGACAGGGTGGATGGCTCATTTTAACCTGCCAGGCAAGTCCACTGTTTCTGAGCTAGTGTAGAACCTTTGTCTGTGTTGATGTTTTGTTTTTTTTTTTTAATGAGTAAATGCATTACAATGTTGTCATTAAAAAAAAAAAAAATGCATTTTTGGAGAAAATATGCATTTTACCTTTGGGAATATGGTAATTTCAGGCAGCATTCCCTATGGGAAAGGTGATACCAGCTCTGATATGCAAAGCATATGATAACTTATCATTCTAACTTCAACATATAATAGGGATTGTGACCTGATATTTGGAGATGTAAATATTACCCAACATATTACCCTAAGGGAATAGAGCATTGTAGTCAACATTTTTTAAAAAAAAAACCTGTTATTGTTTGGTGAGAAACAGCCATGGCTGACAGAAGAGGAGTCGAAATGTAAACATGGTCTCTGAACAGTCAGACCCCCATGGGACTCTTATCTAGGAGCAAAAGGAGTGCTTGGAAACTTGAGGAAAATTGCTTTAAGCTGGAAGATTCTGGAGGCCCTGGGTGTGATTTTTATGCCCTCTGCCTCCCAGTCAGAGCCTGCTGATGTTTCAGCAGGGGACAGACGTGTTAGTTGTTCACTAGAAGTTTTGTCTTATATTAAATTGTATACAGTTTTTATTCTAACCACTAACTAGGTAGGATGCCCCTCCAGGACAAGCAGAGAGCATCTTTTAATTTCTCCCCTATTTCTTAATCAAGTGTTGTGCAAATCTGTTCAACTTTGTAAATATTTGCAAACATCATCATTTTTACGTTATTCTTCTATTGTGTTAACACATTTCTATCAATTTGTGGGAGTTCTGGGGTGCTGAGCTGTCCAGCCCAGAACTGCTCATAAATGGTCACACATGTTTAAGCTACATGTGCTTTTTTTTCTTAACCTGTTTATCTGTACATAAAGTAGAAAGCAAAGTCTAGGGAAACAGATATACTTTTTAGACTATCATGTCACATATTCACATTTTTAAAACTTTGTTTAAAAAAAAAACAAACCACCCTAAACCCAACCTCTACATTAAATAATAAAAAAAAAGAGGAAAAAAAAATGAAATTACAGTTGAGATGTTTTTATCTTATTGAAGTTGAGAGCTCTGGAGATTAGCGTGTGCATTTTCACAGAGTGCTAGCAGGAGTGCCCAGTCACACTGGACTGCTTCCGTTCCTCCCCGGCCGTGTCCGTGCGAGCAGTGATTGCCAGGCTGCTGGCTCAGGTGACAGGTATCTGTATCCTTACGTGGAACTGTTCTAGGGGCTTGGACTACATAGTAAAACAAAAACAAACAAAAAAAAAAATAATAGAGCTTAGTGTAAAATAATTTTATAAATGATCTTTTGTACTTTAGGACATCAAATTGTACAACTTTTGTATATATAAAAGCTTAGGAACTTTCTGTTTAGCAGAAAGGAAACACATTCCTACACTTTTAATGTATATGTTTGTTATAATGTCCATGTAAACATATGCCCTATGTTTGTGCCTTTTAATTAGTTTGTCTCAATAAACAAAAATGTAGAGAAGAATATGTAGCTATGACTTTGTTACCACTGTTCTTACTCCAGGTGTGTAGAGGTCTTTGTTTTGGCCCTTGTAGAGCCCGGCGTGCACGGCCAGCATGTCCCCAGCCCCGCTGCCACCTGCACACCGTCCTGCATGTGGGGACCTGCAGTTCCCCAGCCATCTCTGCCATCCCTGGCCACCACACCACCTTGCACCAGTCTCCCAAAGTAGGTAGAGCCTTCTGGGTCTGGGTAACCACAGCGATGACCCTCAGGTGAAATTTGGGTATCCCTGAGCTTAAAAAAAAGAGAGAACAAAAGCATTAAAAGCCAATATGAAAATGTGTACTAGAAGTGGTTATCTATGAATTACTTACAATAAACAGGTGTGAGACTTAATTGTATGTTGTCAATTACTGCAGTATTGACAGTGGGTCCCTTGTACAGCCAGCTGTTATTTTTATCCCAGCAGTGTAGCAGTAGAATAAACACATTAAACACCGGCAAAGAAATTTTTCACCGTGACAGAGGCTTCCCAAACCACTAACCACGGTGCTCTTAGTGTGGCGTAGGAAAAGGGCTGTTTCCTTTTTATTTTATGTTGGTTCTGCTCGACTGTACCTGGTTTATGTCCACAAAGCTGCATTAGCTAATTGTCGACCTGTTTCATTTGTACTTGGGTAAACATTTGCTTTGTACCGTGTATTAATGGGTCCGAGGTGTGCTCCTCTGCTGTCTCAGTGCGGACGTTGCCTTCGCTCTGTAATGCCATCCTTGCAAATACATTAAGCTGTTTTTCTGACAAACAAAAGCTACCTGGTGCAGTAGTTTGTACGACGTGCATGCTCCCTGCTAAGCCGTGTCCGTGCTGGCCGGGGATCCGCCGGCACCTCGCAGAGCGCCGAGTTCAGGCTCTGAGAAAATGGTGGACGTGAAGAACAGATGCTCCTGTTACACCGAGTTAGTTCCTATGCAGCTGATGCGCTTAGCCTAGTTTATTTCATGGAAACTTTTAAGCTGGATGGAATCCAACATCCAGGGAAGCCTATTGCCGCCGCTGGTTCGAGTGGGGTTTATATCGAGCCCATTCAGGTCTCCGATTGCAAGGAGTTCAATAGGGGGTTTATTTTTCTCCTTCTGAAGTTTCCGTAAGCATTCAGCGTGAGGTGAATGGCTTAGGCCGGCGGCAGCTCGGGAGCTGGATTTTGCCTTGGAAGGATGTGTGCTGTGCAAAGTCAGAGCAGGCAGATGGAGGGCACGGGAAGGCATCCTCGGGGCGAGGAGAGCGCGGGGAGGTGGCCACAGGGACGTAAGTATTGCAGCACAGCCAGCCACGCTGCCAGAAATGGGGTGCAGGCTATACAGGGGCTGCTTTTCTCTTTATTTGGAACACCCCAACAGCTCCAGAGCGTGTTCAGGGTGAAGAGAAATTTGGGATTCAACCTTCTTTTCAAGCATTACACCTGATTATTGTGAATTGGGAAAGTTCTGTTCAGTCGTGATGGATCAGAGAGAAACACGTTTTAGTCTCGGCATACAAGTTTAATTCTATTAGCCATTGATATAAATAAAACACTTTTTTTCCCATCACACAACAATTTTTTCCTTAGAGAGGCAAAAAGAAAGAAGTATTTAATGTGTTTGCATTTGTCCACAAGAGGTTTAAAGAAAACCACCCAGACCTCAGTAAGCTGCTGAGCTGCAGCAATCCCAGGTTACATAAAGGGGCCGGGGCTGCCGAGGATTAGCCGGGGCATTCCGGGTGCTGATAAGCCTCCAAGTTCTGCTCGCTCTTCCCTCACTTTTATTTTAGAAACAGCCACTCTGAGCCCTATCCTGAAAACTGCCTGGGGTTCATTTTCAAGGCTGTCGGGGTTAGATTCCCACCAAAGAGAGAAAATTGGAATTTAAAGAACGCTCAGGTTGTTGAAGCATCGAGCACTGTGGTAGTTTTTATCTCAGGGTCCCTGTGCAGGAGCCGACTTGTTGAGAAATGAATGACAGTTTCTCACTGCTGGGCCCTTCCAAAAACTCCTGCCCTGCTTCATTGGTAGCTTAGTTTATCCATCTCAAAAATAGATGTAACAGTAATTTCAAAAGGTTGCTATTAAAAGCTCTTCAAGTTTTTTAATGCCATTGGGGTTTCAGTGCTTAAGTGGACCTTTTAACCAGTGCTTTTTAGGAGAAAAAGTGTAAGAATAAATCTCCTTGTCTCCTAACTGTCAGAGAATAAAACAAATGAAACCTGATCCCCTTCTACGTATTTGTGTAATTCAGCATGTTTATACTTCTTGCTTATCTTTGGATTGTTCACTCACAGCTCCCAGCGCAGCAGCCGAGGGATGACAGAGGAACTACGTGCTAATTTTTATGTCAAAAATAGCTTTCACCTTTAAAGGCACACGCCTCAGTGGCTGTTTTCTAATTACAAAAGGAATGCCAAAGCTTCTCCCGCGAATCCATTTTACAGCTGTGCTCAGATTGGACTGTCAGCCCCTGGTTAAAATTGAGTGCTGAGGTCCTGACCTAGAAACAAACCTTTTTTGGTATTGCTTTGGAAAGAGTGTTTCAGAGCTGAGGAGCTGGGCCAGGCTGTCCAGCCAGCTCCCTCCACACGCCTGGCGACACTCCTGTCCTTCCTTGCATCGCACTCTGCAGCCCCGAGCAGGGCCACTGGGCAAGCCAGGCTGATGAGTCTGAGAATAATCCATGTTTTCTTGTTGTTCTTCAGGTTTCTGGGCTAGTCTAGTGCAATGTGTCCCCGCTCTGGTGGGGGCTTAGAGTGGGATGAGCTTTGAGTTTCCCTTCCAGCCCAAACTGTTCCAGGTTTCTGTGATTTTTAGAAGTCCCAGCTTTTCCTTTAGGGAAGCATCAGTGCTTTCTGCAAACCAGACATTTGGCATCTGCAGTTCAGAGCATTTACAATCACTGCCTCACAAACCGACCCATTTAGTAAAAAATAGGGCATTTTCAGGATGTGTGAAATCTTGTGTTTTCCAGAGAAGTCAGAAATATTCCATTCACCTTTTCACCCAGTTGTTTTCACCAGCTGTCAAGATGAAACCATTTCTGTTCTGTGTTTTCTGTGCAAGGTTTGTTTTTCAGGGAATTACCAATTTTGTTGGAATTGGCTGAATTAAATTCACTATTTTAACTCTTCATAGTTGTGTATTTCTATGCCCATTTCTCTTTACTTCCTAGCATCATTAGCAGCTAAGATCCATATCAAAGGGATATAAAATTGCCTGTTTTCTCTGAAACAAGCCTGGATTAGGAGGAGATTGCAGCCACCAAAGCTCACTGCAAGGCGCTGTGCCTTGAAGAGTCTGATCTGCGCTAACTTGGGGAAGAGAATGATGAGGCACATGTTCAGTGGGCGCTGAAAACCGAAGGTTTGCCTCCAGTATTTCCACTCCTACTCTGTGTTCCCTGTCAGAGCCTTCCACATCTTTACCCAGGACTGCTCATCTCCCAGACACAGATGAAATGATGGATCAGGACAACTCCCAGCACGAAGAGCTGTCCTGTGAGAGCTCTGGCCCATCCCACAGCTGTGCCCGGGCTCCCGCAGCCACAGCCAAGCACCCGAGCAGTCTCTGGCTGTGGCAGGGTGCTGTGGGAGGCCGTGGTGCTCAGCAGTGTGGAGTTCTTCCCGCAGCATGTCTGGAAGGTTTGGAGAGCCGGGAGGGAAGTGGAGGCTCTGAGCTGCTGCTGTTCACAGTCTCGCTCTGGTCTCTGTGGAACGGGAAGTGTCTGCCCTGTGTAAACGGGCTCCTGTAATTTGTAAGAGGAGATCGCTTCCCGTCCCGAGCTGTCAGCCAGAGCGTGCAATACAGGGACGGCTGTTTTCTGTCTGCTCCCAGTGATGCTGGCTTATAACCCGGCTGGGATGCTCAGCTGTGGGGCAGCAGGGCTGTCTCCCCTTCCTTACCACGAGACTGGAGCTCCAGGCTCCAGAATCCTGGGACACTCCAAAGGTGTGGAAGAGGCTGAGAGCCAGCCTAGAAATCTGGGATGGATCCATCCATCCATCCATCCATCCATCCATCCATCCATCCATCC